ATTGTCTTTGAATCCGTTTATTTGATTGGATTGAACCGACTAGGAGAGTAAATTGGACGTTTTTATTATTTTTTTAAATACTTTGAAACAGTATTTGCTTTGAATTTCAAAGGCAAACGTGGCCAAACACAAAGGCATGCCCCATTTCCAGTTTATATTTGTAAAAAAGAAAATGAAAAACCATCAGTGCTTTCAATAAAATAGCTTATGGTTTTGGGTTGAAAATGTGTAAAATGCTTCAGCGAATTGCTTTGTTATGGAAAAATGAGACAAAGAGAGCAGGGTGTTTCTTTGAGTTCAGAATACTTTTTCACACTGCGCCATCAAATATTCCCGATGAAATGTAATGGAAAAACAAACTTTTAACCACATATGGTCAGCTTTCATAGGCGATGTTGCATCAGGTGCACCCACCTCGAAAATATCCTGGCAAGCTATTAGTAACCGTTTACCCTATGAGTCATTGGGGTAGATGTNTACAATTATGCATTGATTTTAAAAACAAAAACTAGTTTTTTATTTCTCTTTCTCTTATAGGTCTCATTCTGTTGTTTAAAAAATCTTGTAGGTAGTTGAATACAACTGGAAAGTAAAACTAAAGGTGTCTGTTAAGAATTAAGGTTCCAGTTACGCAAAGTTACAGGGTCCTCGCAGACGGACTGCACAACCACGCATAGCTCCACTAGATGGCGGTATATGAACACCATAAGCTTGTGTTTCACGCGAAGTTGTTTAAATTGCTTGCAGCTACAAAAATTGAAGTACATTTTGTAAAATGTCCCGTTTAGTTTGTGTTTACAGTAAATAATTTTTTTCCCGTGATGTAGGAATACCGTGACTCTTTCATATCAGAAAGTTTTTTTTATGATATCAAAATATCAGAAAGTTAATCTTTCTGTGGATATTACTGGGAGAAACCTGGATGTTTTGCCCTTAGCACTTACTGAACATTTCATCGTTCCAACAAATGTTATCAAAACTTGTCCGTTTTATTAAGCAATGTCAAAAAAAAAAGTAGAACATGTATTCTCAAAGCAAAAGATAAAGTTACATATATTTAAAAAGTAACCATCGCCATATGCAACTCCCCTCTTATTATTTTTGTATTTTAAAGTGCATATTTGTAGGTTTGTTTTCTTTCCTTTTTACCTTGACTCCTCACTCCACATGAAAGCGGCATAAACTTGGGTCCCTTGTTTGTCATGATTTGTCCGGTTGGGTTAAACTTTTTTAGTTATTTTTCTAACTGTAGACAGATGCCAATTTTTCTTCTGTAATTATGTTCTGAGCTCAACTAGCAGAAGCTCCCTGTCATGTTATACAATATGTTTAAGGAAAATAAGAGGTCATGTAATATTGATAAAAAATTTGTAAATGCTCTGATCAATTTCAAAAGTAAAGTGCAAATAAAAAAAAAATAATGGTCTGTTACATTTCTTTTGTAGGGACTGATTTTATTTGAAGCTTTTTATCACATGCGACGAAGGTTAGAATGTTGAACATGTCTTTCTTTTTGAGCTTTACTCTTTTTACATTTTTTTTTTTGTTTAATTGAACCTTTCTAAATGCAACCCTGTATAGAAACTAAAACCTCAAAGCAAACAGCAGCAGACCAGACTCGAGGTCCCTAATGAAAGGTGCATTGTTATGCTCTGGGCCAAGCTTCAGGACTGAGGAAACAAGCTGAAAAAGAGCAATCAAGTCTGTCAGCATGCTTTGCCTCGGTGTATGTTTATTTATTTATTTATTTATTTATTTTTTGCTCAATGAATTAGAAACATTTCTGTGATTTCCTTCAACCCAGTTCGGTTTGTTAATGTATGCTCAGCAATCAGCAAAGGGCCAGACGATGTGTTTGTTGCTGAGTGTTCATGACCATTGTTTTCTGTTTGTTTTGATGAGTCATGTCTTGGCAGATAAGGCTATGATGATATGAGGGTGATAACAGAGAGGGTCACAGAGCTACGCATGTGAAAACTAACCATTACGTGTGGCCTGCATTTGTTTTGTGTCTGCACCAAACAAAGTGAGCTGGGCATTTTGGGATCCTAAATTCCACAGTTTTTTTTTTTTTTCTTCTTCTTCTTCTTCTTCTGTTAACCTCAGACTGCGTGAAGAGGAACAAACGAGCTGAAAGCAGAATGTGGAAGGAGAACGTTTTAAATATTTAAAGAATAATCAAGGGGAAGTAAACAGTAACCCTAGACAGTTAAAGTTAGTCAGAAACTGAGATGGTAAAGTTGTGTTGATTCGTTGTGTCTGGGGAAAAGTTCATAGTGCAAAGATCATAAATTTAGGCAGATGAAAAGAAAAACAGCCATTACAGTTTCCTTGTAAGTCATGATTGGAAAAAGAAAAATTCAGTCGGCAGCATTAAAGTCACTAAAAAACTTCATTGTAGTTTTTTTGAACACAAAGTAGCAATCATAAAAGATCATCCTGTTAACTAGCATCTACGGATCACACCATGTATTCACATACTGCATAAAAAAGAAGCAACTATTTCCTTTTCACTGACTGACATCAATTGGACTAAACTTTTCCAGCCTTGGGGTCATCTATGATTACACTTTACACATTATGTCTAATTTGCTTTCTTGAAATGTTAATAAACACATGTATTTTTCAAATAGGAGCATTGCTGAAGCAAAATGTATGGCCGTAGTCGTCCAGCAGGATATTGGACTTCCACAGTCATTTTCTGAACCATACCATCTGGAATCCGAAGCTATGCAAGGAATTTATTGGCAATGTTCAGATTCTCTAGTTTTTGGGCAAATTCTGGTCATTCTGGAGATAAGGTCTGTTGCAAGAGCGCTCAGATCATTCAACCTTTCTACATTTTGACACTCTTTAACTCACAGACATTAAATCTTTTATTGGGATTTTATGTCCTAAAGTGACATATGCAGAATTTAAAGTCAAAGGTTTAACATCTTTTTACAAAAAAAGATCTAACCAAAGCATTTTCTTTCAAATGTAGAATTTGAATTGATTGTCTTTGAATCCGTTTATTTGATTGGATTGAACCGACTAGGAGAGTAAATTGGACGTTTTTATTATTTTTTTAAATACTTTGAAACAGTATTTGCTTTGAATTTCAAAGGCAAACGTGGCCAAACACAAAGGCATGCCCCATTTCCAGTTTATATTTGTAAAAAAGAAAATGAAAAACCATCAGTGCTTTCAATAAAATAGCTTATGGTTTTGGGTTGAAAATGTGTAAAATGCTTCAGCGAATTGCTTTGTTATGGAAAAATGAGACAAAGAGAGCAGGGTGTTTCTTTGAGTTCAGAATACTTTTTCACACTGCGCCATCAAATATTCCCGATGAAATGTAATGGAAAAACAAACTTTTAACCACATATGGTCAGCTTTCATAGGCGATGTTGCATCAGGTGCACCCACCTCGAAAATATCCTGGCAAGCTATTAGTAACCGTTTACCCTATGAGTCATTGGGGTAGATGTTTTATCAGCTGCTAAATATAACCTCCACGTATTAACGTGCTGCTACCAGAAACTGAGTTCTCAAGAAATCAAGGACAATTACTTCATTTAAGGAAATGGAGAAATAGACAGGAAGACTTTATGATATTATAAATTTAAGCATCGTCTTCAGTTGTTCATGTTTTGACATGAGTTTTGTATATATACTGTAAGTGTCCAATCCTTTTAATTATTTCAGTTTGAATTAAGAAAAAAGCTGAAATCTTAGTTTTTTTTTTTTTTATTAAAAAGACATCTGATTTGCTAGTTCTAGCTAGTTCCAGTAGATGGCGGTAATGCACAGTAGATGGCGGTAAACGATGCTTGCCAACCGCAATAAAGAAGAAGACGTAACGGTCCCTGCTAGTTTCTCTGTACAAACCAAACCAAGCTTCAATCTTTTCCTATTCAATTGTGATTTATACTGTTCAGGATTTACTAAGTGACAAAGTAACAAACATCTTACCTGCAAAAGATAACTCTCAGTCGCTTAATTTAGTCATGGAGGCTGTAGCTAATGTCGACTTAGCTAACGGCCCAACTGTTCCCTCTAAGTCTGTGCTAAATTGATCAACAATGAAAAAAATAATTAAAATAGATACTCTCCAATCCCTACAACATTTTTTTTACACCGTTTTACCTTTATATCAGTAAGGCTCAGAAATGTTTTACATGTTCCTTTCTCAGCATATGCTATACAAAAGGATCGCAGGTGAAGTACCACCTCCAGCCATTACTTTTAGACTAAATACCAGCAAATATGATGATGGCGCAAATGTAAAATAGCATTTGAGTCAACTGCTGTTGTGTTCTTGACATTTTTGAGCTGACTTGAGAAGGTAGAAAGAGGCGTTTGTACATAATCTCAGAGAGCATCCTTGTTTATTTGCTGACTGAAAATGACTAAACTAAAAATGCTATATTTCCAGAGAAATTTCACCAGTATTCTAACTCTATAGATAAAAAATACCTGTATACCATACAGGTGTCATAGCAACCTGCATTGGTAGCTATGACACAATTTTAGATGATTGAGTATTTAATCTAAAATAAATTTGCTTATTTATTGTCTAATATAACAGGCACATTAAACTTTTAAACTTGTCCGATTTCCCTCTTCTAGTAAATCAACAGCAGTTTAGGTAGGGAAAAAAAAAACACGCTTTACTTTAAAACAAGGCAAAACATTTATTTGAACTCACTGTTTAAGTTTGTATTGCATTCGAATACCATATCATCCACAGCATTAAAAGGCATTAACCTAAATCTTTACACTATTTCTATCATTCACACATGGCATTTATTTAAACAATAAAGTGCTTTTCATTTTTTTTTCAAATAACCTTCTGTTCAACCAATCAAGCAAAAAAAAACAAAAAAAACAAAAAAACAACAAAAACACTGAGACTATACTTGCGACCCCTCTGCAGTGGAAATCGTCACACACACATATACACTCAGAAATACTCAGTCCCACATGTGAGCGGGCAAATATTTCACCCCCAGTGTTTAGTTGTAAAAAAAAAAAAAAAAGAAAGAAAGAAAAAATCTGTGCTTTAAACTCCAATTGTCTTAAGTTTAGAGAACAACAGATTTTCAGTCATAAGAGTAAAGTCACGTTGTCCTTTTTCTGTGGGGGGATTTCTCGGGCAGATTTGTTCCACTCTGGTCCATCTTGGTATGAACACATAGAAAGGCAACATAAACACACTCAGCGGACTTGTTCAAACCCCCCACCCCCACCATCTCATTTACCTTTAGCAGAACAGCCTCTTGTCTCAGGTGTGAGCTGTGTGCAGAGATCAACACTCTAATCAACAACAAATCCCCCAAAATATATATTCACTGTGGATTTCTGGGCGTTATGTCGAGCTGCATTTTTGAGTTTGGATGAAAAAAAATTAATCCTGAGCTATGGAAAGCAAAACGTCCTGGAAAAGTTTGTCTACTTGATGTGTTCTGTAGGTGCATCTCAATTAATTAGAAAAATCATTGAAAGGTTTTCTTCTATTGAAATATAACAACACTTGTCAAAGCATATTTCTGGAAATTGAGTAGAAGGTAAAACTGTGGTAGAATCAGGTGCACAAAAGACGAACTGCTGACTTGACGGTAGCTATTCAGCAAACAGCCGTTGACACTCACCACAAAAACAGTAAAGTGACTTTTTATTTAAAGTGGCTTTAAATAAAAAGTCACTTTAGCAGTGACTTTTTACTTAAAGTCACTGCTAAAGGAGTTGGCTGTTCATACTGTGCCATTTCAAACCATATAAAGTTGAATGGAAGCAATTTTGCACAAGCATCAAGAAGAACTGCAGACTTGAGAAAACTGTGAAGGTAAGGCCATTTAGAAGTCCGTATGCAGTATTTAAACCATATTAATGGAAAGTTGAGTGGAAGGAAAATGTTTCACAAGCCACAGGGACAACTGCATCCTGGAGAGGACTGAAATAAATACATCAAGGAATCTGCAATATGGGGTTCACGTTCTGAATCTAATTATTTTAACTGGTTGAGATGCACTTGTGGAAAATAAAACTGCTGTCCTCATGCACTAATCTGAAATGTTGAGTCTGACGTCAATATTCGGCCTTAGTTTCTTGTTAGACACACACACTCTGCCGAGAGACAAGAGGCCACTGTTGCACACAACTGAGATAAAGGAACTTAGGACTTAGATTTCAATGCTCTTTCATCGATATGTCAAAACATCACAACATCTCTGATAGTTGAAGAAGCAGAACTGCAACGAAACAACAACAGAGTCAGTCATTTTGTTTTGTAGTGGGGGGGGGGCCTTCGAGATGTCCAAGTCTTTCTTTCTTGTTTTTTTTTTTTCATTCAGTCTCATATCTTCTGAACCCACCATTGGCGTCCGAGCCAGTCCTCTGTGTTCCTGTTGTTTCTGCCAGGTGTTCGATCAGCAGCCCGATCCTCACCCTACGGCTCGCCGTGTGAATCAAGCAGCTGGACTCCTGCTGAAGGTTTCACCGCGCCTCCCTTTGTGATCGTAGTGTCCGTTAGCGGTAGAGGAAGGCACGTAATACTTTGAGAACACTCTCCGGACACTTGGGAGAGTTTTTTTTATTTTTATTTTTATGACCTGCTGTTTTGAGTGACAGGCACTTGAATGCCCTTCTGTCCTGTTGCTGTGAATAAAATACAAAAGTGAAATATTAGTAACTAGCAACATTATATCTCACCAAGCTGATATGAGGAAGCTTACCCAGTTTGTACTTCTCTTTAGCCTCTGACCTCTCTTTGGCATCAAAGTACCAGACTGTGATGGCATACCTGGTTGTGAAATAAATTTATGTGTAAATAAATGCTAAAACACATCCAGTTCACATTAAAACGTCATATTGGTTTATTTTGCCTAATTCCTTATTGTATATTTTGAGACAATTATATTAAAAACCATAGTTTGTTTTAAGAGGGTTGTGTGGAGTAATGTTCTGGAGTTAGTATCCAACCTGCAATAATAGACAGCAATCACAGAATCGTTTATTTGTAAAATCAAACCAAAATGTTAATAAAAGAGCTAAAACAACCACGACTCAGAGCACGACCCATTTAAAGCAAATTATTACCATCTAAGAGCATTGAAAATTTTACTGGTAGAAAACTTTACATAAGCCAAATTAAGACCTAATTAATACTTAATTTCCCTTTGACCTTTCATTTGACATTTAGAATTGGAGTTGTTGAAATATTGGGCGGTGAAGTGCTACATAACTTCATAAAGTCAAAATGACATCTCGTATTGTAGATTTATTTTTATTTAAATGCATGCAAAATATATTTCCAGGGGCTACTTTCTTCAACATGGTTAGGTTTCATTCACGCAACGAGAGAGAGCTAAGTTTTCAGCAGACATCATCAGGGCTGCTTGATCCTATTCATTTGTTAATCTCTGCCGATTATGAAAGTGTTAGCTGCTTTTTGTAAACCTCAGTTAAGGTACAGATCTATATTATCTAGAATATAAGTACATGGGGAGACTGGTGTTTTTGTAATGCCATTTGTGCTAATCGCCAACAAAAGACAGAGACAACAAACAGTTTGAAATCCCAACACTAATCATTTTCTTGTTTCAAATATTAGTGAAATTCTGTTTTGAAACTCCAACAAAACAACAAAAAACGCAATAAAACAGAAAAAAAAAAACCATTGTGAACATTGCTAAAAAAAAAAAAAGTTAAATTATCACAAAGACAACAAATTCAAACCACTTTGGAGCGACCGTCCTGGGAAAAGGACTTCTTGGGCAGCGCAAGGTTAATTTCTACGGTTTCTCATCTCTCCTGTGGGGCTTTGTTGTTTATTCCTGTCTCTCATGTGTGCGCCTCTTCAGCACGAGTCCTGCCATCGAACCTTCCTCTCCTCTCCCTCCCACCGACCTCCTCAGGAAACACATACTTCCTGCCTCTGGCCCCACCTCGCTCCCCCCGCACCCCCCAGCAGTCGAACCGGCTGAAGGGGAGGTTTCACGTGATCTCCAAGGACAAAACTAATTTATGCAACGATGTAAATAAACCTCCTGTTGACACTGGCGTGTTTATGCGCAGAGCGGGTCTATCGCATGTCGGCATCGGCGCAAAGTAAACGGTTGCTAACCCTCATCTCACAACACAATTATGAGGTTTATTTTACAGCCGTCTCGTTTTGACAAATTGAAACGACAACAATTGAAGGGTGACTGGCAAAACCCAGGAGCTCAGAGGGTCGACGACAGAAAACTGAGCTAAAGAGTCTGTTTTAAATTAAATTAGGATTTACACAGCAGGATCAATGTGAAGTAAATGAATTCACTTTATTTTTTTTTATTTGTGAGGATGCACCGCGTATTTGCTGTCACTAACCGAGTGGTGTAAGATGGCTTGACTTCATGTGGGTTTCTGCGGTCAGACCAGAAGATGAGCAGCCGGTCGAACAAAGGCTCGATATTGGCCACCACGTTTTTGCCCTCGGGGTAGATCTGCAACAAACCTCCGTGTGTCTACAAAGACGAATGTGCACAGATTAGTCACATGTCTGCAGGGGACATGTGCAAGTCAAGAATATAAGATTTCAAGCAAGTGAGAAAAATGTTAGAATTTATCGCATTTTGGCCAGGAAACCTGAGCAAAGAGGGAATTGACAATTAAAAAAAAAATTATAATCAAAGCACCTTAACGTCCCAGTTCTTGTTTAGATAGTAGATGCACGTGAGGCAGCGTCCATCGCCGTTCGGGTTATCAACATGGCGGACGTATCCAGCCCCATTCCCTGGATAACAAGCAACCATGGCCTAAGACAAAAAGAAAAAACAACAAAAAAATAATTAACTCTATGCATTTTAGTACAACAACAACAGCTTCATCATCACATACAAACATGCCAAGAACTTTAGCAAAATATGCAAAAGACAAAGCCCTTATTAATCAAAGCTGGACGTGACAGGTTGACCACAAAAATCAAAAATCCTTCTGGTTCCTGATCATTGAACCAACATGTACAACATGTTTAAACAAACAACACCACTCTTCGGTGTGGGAGTTGTCAGTGTCGGTAAGATTGTGAGGACTGAGAAAACACGAGACCTGAGTGGCCGTTTAAACTCTTTTCCTTGACATGCCAATACATTTCTGCAGCTCATGTAGGCTGTGAGAGAGCGAGTGAGAGCAAAACGTTCAGCAGATAACAGGAAGGGAGAACGTGTTTTATGTGTTTGAACTTCCAACCTTTGTCACTATGGATAGTGGATTTGGGAATGTTTATATAATTTTTATTATTTTTTTAAATCTCAGCATTAGATAAAAGATCTACGTCACCTGAAACGATGTTTTTGAATGGCTAGTTGTGCTAATCACCTGTAGATGCTGAAGCCAATTGAAAAAGAGAACTCAGCACTTATGTGGCCTTGGACTGAAAATACTAAAACCATATTTTCCACAGACAAGAATGCAAGTTTAGAATGCATATTGTGACAACGTTAATTGTTAATTGTGTCATAATTTTTTTTTTCTAAGTATAAAAAAATAACTCGTTCACACAATGATTATTAACTCTGTTTTCATTTGATTCTCATTCCTAAAGGAGCGCTCAATTTCCCAGGTGACAGGCGGTGTAGATGAATAGGTATCACCAATTAACTTCACTTGAGTAAAACGATGCAGCCTTCTGACATAAAGGCGACACCTGACATCAGTCAACGATGAGAGGACGTCGCCCGCAATGTAGTCGTTCTTAAAAGCAACCGTTTCAAGTCTACAAAAGTTTGGGCGTTCATTTTCGGCCTGACCCCGACGTTCCTCTTGCCGGTTGAAGCAGTGAAAGCCTGCAGAGGTTAATGAGCTCTGGCTGCGGGCGTGAGCTGCTAATGAGGGCCGACAATGGGTGGCTAAGTAGAGCACAACCCAAACTCGCTTGGCTGTGAATGAGAGGAAGGCGACACACACGCTCACTGAAAACGCCTCAGAAGCCATCACCTTTATCTGAGCGGCGGCAAGACAAACGGGGACAAGTGCAACTGTCTTACCTAAAGGTTAAATCAATACCGCAGCAGTGCAGAACCGGCTGGTCAAGACTGATGGCGTCTCAGTCAAGCTGAGGTGATGGACCGACTCCTTGGGAACATAATATTTCAGTCTCACTCTAGTTGTTCCAAGAACCTAGAGGCTTCTTTCAGTCCGAGGAAACAGCTTGCACAGCATTTACTGAGGGCCTGAAACACGAGCATGTTCCATTAGATCACACAGCCGTGGTGCGCACATACCGCTGTCACTTGACTTCCAGCACATTTACAGACTCGAGTCTCGTGGTGACCCTTGTCTGGAATGCGCATCGACGCCAAACAAGCTTTTCACGCAAATCTCGGTTCCTCTCCGGGTCCCCAGAGAAAGCGGTGCGCTCCGGCCCCCCGACGGCCTCCCAACGCCGAGACGTCAAGCGGGGGGAAATACCAGCGTGAGGCCATTGTTTGAGAGAATGCAAACTGTATCTGCAGATCGTTTCTGAGCTGGGAAAGCAGCTGAATGAACCCTGACATATTTCTCATCTTGCAAGATGCCATTCGGAAAAGATATGTAAACTGCCTCGGAAGTTCAGGATAGTTTTTACGAGAGCACCGGTGGTGAACAGTTGTTTCTGGGTTTGTTTGTTTTTTCATGTTTTCTCTGATGGGCAATAATTTCCATTTGCTCATTTGTAGCAACTTATAATAAGGAGAGATGGACAGATCAGAATTTTTTAGCTGATTCTTTACAATAACTGCTTATTCATGCGAGGAGCTGATTTTTGCCATCCAGAGTATGAATTCATGGCACCTGAAATTCACATGAACATCTCAGTAAATTGAAGATGTGCTCTGATTTGGCTTGTTTGTCTTCTTAAAAGCAGGTTGTGAAACAACCTTTAAGCAGGTATTAAATATATGATTAATTTGCCCCTCATTTCTTTGTTAGGAAATTAACTGTAAAGAGAAAATTGTCACAATTAACAGTGATACAGGCTTGAATACATAATGTGCTTCACTTTGTGAAATTAAATTAAAAAACAACTTCAATAAATTTGAATATATTTGAAATCTGCCTGTGTCAGCCTACCAAATTCAATTCAATTCAAATTCAGAAATACTTCGTTGATCCCAAAAGAGACATTAAATACCGTATTTTCCGGACGACAAGCCGCACCCCCCATTTAAAAAAACAAACAAAAAATAAAAAAAACAGTAAACGTACACGTATAAGCCGCACGCCGCATGGTTCAAAGCTCAGGAAAAAAGTAGTGGCTTATAGTCCGGAAAATACGGTAATAATACCAAAATTAAATATTGCATCCAAGGAGAACTTTGCAGTTATTGTCCGATGACTGTTTCAATTCAATGCATTGTCTAGTCTAAATCTACTTATCTGCAACAGGAAACCTCACGTCGTTCCTGTGCGCATATCACATTTCACTAAAATGCTAATCATTCTAACTTTTTGTCTCCTTTCAGCCTCCTTCCTCTCTTCAGGAAACTCTAACTCATGTAATTTCACTGCCCGTTTGGACTTGCAGTGTCAGTGAGTTGCCGCATTTGTCAACTTTCAGTTTATTATTGTTTTTAAGCAGTTTACTTAAAAAATAATCCAAATGACCTACATCACATCAGCGAGGAATCCAAGAACTTTGAATTCAAAGATGGAGGGGCTGCACTTATGTTGCTTTTGTAAATTATGTCAATTATGGCCGTCTTAGAGTGACCCTTTGGGACTTTTGGCTAATGATAATGACATTATGAAGAGATGTTTAGAAATGGCTGTTCCTGTTTTTGCTGGCAGCTTACATAACAGGCACTGGAAAATGTTTTTAAATGCATTTTCTCTACATATTGTGTATATTTCAGCACTTGTAATCAAACCGTCGGTGCCTATAGATTAAAAATGCAGACAACATCGGAAGTTATCTTTCAAAAAAAATTATTTATTATAGCAAATACTGAAGAAATCTGTCAGCACACCCTCATATCAGCATTGCAACAGAAAGACAAGTAGTGGCAAGAAAATTAAGGGGTTTGACTTTAGACAGTGCTGCCACTTTCAACAAACAAAACTGATACGGAGCCGCTATCAAGTAGGGAAATGTGCCCTTCTGTGCAAACATGAACCAATTCAGTTTGTGTGCTTCACAGAGATAATTAAAATCTATAGAAGATGTGCTGAGAAACCAGTTGGTGTCCAGAATTGGAGGATTTCTTTTTTTGTAGCTTGTCAGACTTAACTGAGTGAAGGAGACAGTGGGCTGTTTAAAAACCAAGTCAGGGGAAGCAAAGAGACGCAAGAAGCTATTTCAAATAAGAAAACCTTATTTTCTTGTACAGGCTGTGAAAAAACGAGAGAGCAAGACTTTTTCATCAGATACCAGGAAGCTTGTGGTTTGTCCTTTCAGCTCTCAAGGGAGGAATAAATCATCTGTTGTAATAGTTATGAATTTTCTTCGCAACACTCTCTGCCTGCTATAAAACACAACAGATTTGGAAATGTTCGATCTTTTTCTAAAATCTCAGGGTTAAGGTGCATTTAGTAACAGTGTTTCAGTACTGCCAGCTGCACTAATCACTCATAGTGATTAGAAGATGCTAAAAACAGAGCCAGGTTTGCAGCAATGTTGTCTTTGTTTTTAAAATAGTAAATGGTTTCACACCTAAAATAAATAATTGATGACCAAGAAGGCAAGAAAGAATTTGGAGCTTCTTCCTTTATCTTCTGATGATATGTGCTTCAAATATCAGCCACAAAATTCTGATACAAATACTCAGAGTGTGTTTTGTTTGGTGGTAGATATGTTGGCACAATTGAGATTCTCTCAGTTTATTATTATTGATTTTTGTTCAATCATTTACTGAGAATGACCACAATCTATGTTTTGTTTAGCAAACAAACAAAGTGGTGTATTTTTGGAGAACATGTAGATTTAAGTCAATCTATTTCTGCCAGCAAGTATTTAATTGCAAATGGAACAGCTGGAGTTCCCCTCCACAATGAATACACCGCAGACAATTCCTCCAAAACCTTTTAGTGAATCTAAAACACACTCTAAGCAATAAAAAAGAGGAAGATTTACGCATTTCTTTTTTTGTCTCGTCTTTTCAGTCAAATAACGATTCACGGAGCCTGAAATAGTGCATCCTGTCTGCCCTTTGCTGCTGCTGCTGCTTCCTTTCCGACTTATGTCTGCTGAGAGCTGCGCCTACGTCAAGTTTGAGCATAAATTACCACCTGCCTTGGCAGGTACAACCTTTAAACGCTAACACCAGAGCTCCCGTCTGTTGGCACGACAGGAAAAGGTAAAAAAAAACAAAAACAAAGCTGTAGTGACTGCTTTGTCGTCATTACTAGACGTAGTGACGGCAAAGCAGGCAGAACCTGCTGTTCTGGAAGAGAGTGGCCAGTGGTGAGTGCTTATCCAGATAAGACGAATGATGGTGGAGAGAGCCGAGAGGGGCTTGATAAGGCTGAACAAATACAGGCCTGAGCTACGATTGCGTGAGAGAGGTTGAGCACCGATTGGGATAACTTGGAAGCTTAAAACATTTCAGGGTGACTGCAGGTAACTGTGCGTTTGGCGTTTTTAACCTGCACCACGCTGCGTCCGATGCTCCACAAATGCTACTGTGGAAAGGTTGCGACACGTCGGCGCATCAGGCGCTGAATGCGCTGCACCACATGGCGACTTGTTATCTTTACAGTCGCCTCTGTTGCCGTACTGTACAGCACCGAGCCTCGCTTCAAATCTCCTCTATCTGACCTTTCAAGAGCATCGTTACCA